CACATTTCGCGAAGATCTATCCCGAGTTTTGAAGAGATTAGCGATACTCGGTGAATATAACTGGAAACACGTTATAATGATGATGTTCATGATATTAATGATTATGATATTAATGATGCTGATGGTGATGATATTGTGATACCAAGGATGATTTTTGTTATTATTCTTATCAATATCATCATCATAATAATTATGGTTTATGATAGTAATGTCAATCATAATAACCATTGTCATTATTTTTATCATTACCATAATTACTATTATTATTACTATTGTTATTATCATTTTTATTATTATTATTATTATTATCATTTATTATATTATCATCATTTATTATCATTACCATCATTATTAATATTATCATTATCATTACCACTATTATCATAATCATCATCATCATTATTATCATTGATCATTATTACCTTTCTTACAATTACTATCATGTTTGTATGAATGTAGACATGCTATGTGTATTCAGTATACTATATGACCATACAGAATAAAGGTCAGTATAGTACTAGTGGTTAAGACTCCAATTACACTGATTTTAACGACAATTACCAAAATCACTGCTCGTTCACACCTACCTTGTCATATTGAGGCCATTTGTTGTACTTTTATCTGATTGTATGTTTTGTTTGTGTTATTGTATAATGATATAGTGAAATGAATGTGAAATACACCTGTCTGGCAAGCATGAAGATTAGTTGTTTTAATGGTGAGTCGAGAGAGGAGAGAGAGAGAGAGAGAGAGAGAGGAGAAGAGAGAGAGGACGAACGGATGATGAGAGAGAGGGGAGAGAGAGCCAGACGGAAGAGAGAGAGAGAGACAGAGAGAGGACAGAGACAGAGACAGAGACAGAGAACAGAGACAGAGAGAGACAGAGAGAGAGAGAGAGAGAGAGAGAGAGAGAGAGGACAGACAGACAGACAGACATAAGACAGAACCAAGAGACAGAGAGACAGAAATAGACCCAGACAAACAATCATAATCAAACATACACAAACACAGAAACAAAAACAAAGACAAACATACAAACAGAGCACAAAACCACCAAGCTCAAAAAAAATTACAAAATATGAACAAAGACAGAACCGAACCCCTGTAAGCCCGAAAATCCCCTTCACCCTTTTCCCTGCCAGACCAGCAGCAGGGTACGAGCGCAAATCACCCTGCAGTGGGCATTCATCCTACCTCAATGCATGATGGGAATTTGCAGAGCATGACACAGCATTTCCGAGGGTATTTAAGGATCGACGGACGCACGACGGACATCATTCCAGAACGGACCGCCTTCCCTGGTCGTTGTTGCTTTGTTCCAGAGATCTTCGTTCGTTCGTTGTTGTTCCCACCATAGTTACGTTTTTTTTTTTCTCATTCTTTTTTTAGTTATGTTAATGTTATTTTTTTTAATTTTATTTTATTTTTATTTATTTATTAAAAGCACGTAATTTATCCCCATCCAATTTATTTTTATATAATTTATTTTATTTATTGGTAAGTACGTTGTCCACCGTAGTTTGTTTACGTTTTTTTCTTTTTTCTCTTTTCTTTTGTCTTTTTTATTCTTTTTATTTTATTTTATTTTATTTGTGTAAAAGCACGTTATCCATCCAATTTATCTTTATTAATCTGTATTTTATTTATTGGTAAGTACGTTGTCCACCATAGTTACGATTTTGTTTTTACTTTTTCTTTCTTTTTCTTTTCTTTTCTTTACGTGAAAGCGCGTTATCCACAAGATTTATTTTAATTAATCTGTATTTTATTTATTTGTATCTTATTCAGGACCATGTTTCTTTTATTTATTTTTTTTGTTTATTTTTTTAATTTGAAACCACGTTATCCACCGAGTTATTTATTAAATCTATATTTTATTTATTTGTTTCGTTATTTAGCACCATGGTTATTTTTTATCTTTTTTAATCTGAAAATACGTTATCCACTGATTTCCTTTTTACTAATCTGTGTTTTATTTATTTGTATCTTTATTCATCACCAAGGTTATTTTTATCTTTTTTAATTTGAAAATACGTTATCCCACCGATTTATCTTTATCAATCTGTATCTTTATTCATTTGAGACTGTAAAATTAACGTAGTGTCAGTGATCAACAACTTAAAACAAATTATATGATTATTCCTAAAACCTCCATATGATATAAACCTTTAAATCACATCAATTAATGAAATATGACAAAAAAAAAAAAAATATATATATATATATATATATATTATATATATATATATATATATATATATATATATATATATTATATATATATATATATATATATATATACGGCCGAGGAACTGCAGATGTCTCGAAGGAGTCACTTTGTTTTGTTGCAAGTTGCAGCTCTCCGTCTGTGCAACAAGTGGCTGTGTCCCGACCTTGGGATGGAGTCTTGAGAGTCGAGTCGCTCGTTCGGAATCAAAGACGAAGCCTGGGTCATGGAAGACGAACAGATATAGACTGGGTTTTTATTTGTTTATTTTCTTTTTTCTTTTTTTTCTTGGTTATTTGTTTATGGGTTTGTTGTGTTTTATTTATTATTCTTTCATTCGTGCATTCGTTGTCACACAGAGACTAGATTTTTTTGTTTTTTTATTTTCTCTTCTTGTTTCTCCTTCCCCTGGTTATTTGTTTATGTTTGTTGTATTTTATTTATTCATTGTTTATTCACTAGTCATTTGTTATTCATTATTTTTTAACGAATCAGAGGATATAATCTAAAAAGTTGTTCGTTAGTTTTTTTTACAGTTCAAATTATCCGTGAACAAAATCTTGTATTCTCAAAGAGCTCCCCCCACCAAAAATGATAATAATAATAATGAAAATAAAAGATAAAGTAAAATCAAATAAATTAATTAATTGAGTAGAGGACAATTATTATAATTCGTGGGAACGTGATGATCATGAGTGCAATTTAAAAGTATATTGAGACGATCCACAACCTTCACAGATACTCTGATAGACCAACTTTGGATTTTAACTATCGACTCAAAAACAACCATAAGCCAATTTTAGCTTATAGCAACCGTCTGAAAAGCAACCTTAGACCAATTTTAGCTTTTAACTATCGACTCAGAAACAACCAATTTTAGCTTATTACAGCAATTTTTTCTCAATCGCTGTTAACTGTATAAACACCATAACAGCAGGAATAAGGTTCACTAATAACATAACAGCTGAAATAAGGTTCACTAATAACATAACAGCTGAAATAAGGTGTTTATTGATTACTAACACTTCACTCAACATTACGTATTATAATTGTGGTGATATTCTAGTACTTTCTATTAACATGTTGATACGTAATAGATGCTGAGTCATTGTTGCAGTTTTTCATGTTGATTTTACATTCGTGATTATAGAAATCATGATATTGCAGTTGGAGTTGTATTATTGTTCTGTATTCTTTGTTTCTTGGGTCTCTCTCTCTTCCCTCTTTCTTGTGGATAGACTTATAGAATTAAATTATTTTAGAGTAGTGTTAAATCAAGGTGTTTTTTTTTCGTTTTTTATTTTTTTTTTTTTTTTTTTTTTTATTTATTTTTTTTTTTTTTTTTTACTTTGTTTTCCTGTACTCCTTGACATTGAATTATCACTTCCTGTAGATATGAAAAAAATGTACCTTGATAAAAGGATATCACATATATACAAACACGCACACACACACATGCAACCTCCCCCCCCCCATCCCCAGCCACATACTTCCACCAACAACCCCACCGCCTCCACAACCCACCTTCCAAACCCTCCACCCCCACCCCTCCCCACAACCCACTCCTACACCCCCTCCCCCACCTCCCTCACACACACACACACATTCAAAAACTCCCCATACAACCTCAACCCCCCCCCCCTTAACAACACACACCCCTTCCCCTTCCCACCCGAGATATAAGCAACACAAGCCATACCAACCAAAACCCCCCCATACCCTCTTAACATCCCCCCCAGGAACCTCCCACACCCCACGCCCTACCCCTCTACCCCCAAACCTCCAACACACCCCAATCAACAACCCCCCTCCCCCCTATACAACCATACTCCTCTCCCAGAACTCCCAAACAACCATCCTACCCATTCCCCCACCGAAAATAACACACAACCCATTAACACCAACCCTATAACCAACCCTCCAAATAACGTCCCCCTCCTCTCTTCCCCACCCCCCCAGGACCAGGCCCGGCACCATGGCCCCCAGTACCATCTTTAATTTACTTCGACGCGAATGGGCGTGCCGAGCCTTACCGAATGGCCTCCCTGGAATACAGCCGGGACGCCCTTTACACGGAGGAGCGGATCCGCCTTTGGAGACTGGGCCGTGAGGAAGCAGAGTGGGTATCTGTGGGTATTGTTGGGGGTATTTGTTGGGTATTTGGGGGTATGGTCTCTTGATTTATTTTATTCTTTTTTTTTTTTTTTTTTTTTTTTTTTTGCAGAGTTACATTCTGGTTTGTTGTTTGTACTGTTTGTATTTGTTTCGTGGTTTTTTACTTCTGTTTGTCTCTCTTTCTCCTTTTTTTTCTCTCTCTCACTTATCCTCAAAAAAAAAGTTCACTTAGAATTAAAAAAAAGACAAAAAATATCTCTTTAACCTTCCCTCTCTCTCTCTCTCTCTCTCTCTCTCTCTCTCTCTCTCTCCTCTCTCTTCTCTCTCCTCTCTCTCTCTCTCTCTCTCTCTCTCTCTCTCTCTCTCTTTCCCTCAAAAAAAGAAAGAAATTCCCCTTAAACTTAAGAAAAGACAAAAGAATAATCTTTCTCAAAAATAAGAAAACATTCCCCTTAAACTCTAGAAAAAAGACAAAAAAAATCCCCTTTAACCTCAAGGAATAAGAAAAAAGAGAGCCTCAAGAAGAAAAAAGACAAAAAAAATCCCCCAAGACAAAAAAATCCCTTGAACACAAGCAAAAAAAAAAATAAAAAATAAAAAAAAAAAAAAATCCCTCACAATCCCAAGAAACAAGATTGAAGAGAAAAAAGAAAAGAAA